CTACACTGCTGTAGCACTTTAATAAAGACACTACTATGCAGACGTAGGTAATCCGCCTCCCTATGGTACCTATGGACTGCTGAGCGCTCCCCCGTGGACTCCAGTACTCCACCAGGACAAGAGGCACAGGCAGAGTCGATGGGAGAGCGGCAGCAATCGACTTATTGCAGTGAAGACAACGCGGTAAGTAGATCGAAGTACATCGACTTCAGCTACATTATTCACGTAGCTGAAGTTGCGTAACTTAGATCAATTCTCTCCCCCCACCTCCTGCCACCCCACTTCCCCTCAGTGTGGACGAGGCCTATGTCAACTGGAGAAGCTTTTCCTCAACATAGTGCTGGCTACACCGGGGTTTAGGTCGGTATAACTACAGTAACTCCTCACTTAATATCCTCCCATTTAATGTTGTTTCGAAGTTACATCGCTGCTCAATTAGGGAATGTGCTCATTTAAAGTTGTGCAATGCTCCCTTATAACGTCATTCGGCTGACTTTACAAGGGAGTATTGCACAAGTTCCTCTTCTCAGCCTCCTCCCCCTCCCTTCATCCCAGCGCTTCCCCCGCTGCCAAACATAGACTTTCTGGGAGGGAGGGAGCGGGTAGGCTGCCCCCCTCCCTCCCCCAGGCAGGGCCACCTGGAATGCAGGGGTTTTAAGGGGGCCCCGGGGCCCTGGCCTACAGCTCTAAAGCCCCTTTCAGAACGTGGACCTGCGAGCACAGACCGGAGGACTCAGGAGGAGCAGGGGCAGCCGTGCAGCCAGCAGCCGGAGAGAAGCAGTGATTTCCCCTTCAAAGCACCACTTCTTTCCAGCCCGCTTTGAAGGGGAAAGCGCCGCTTCTCGCCGCTGGCTGCGCAGCTGCCCCTGCTCCTCCTGAGTCCTCCGCCCCATGCTCGCAGGGCCGCATTCCGAAAGGGACTTTAGAGCTGCAGGCTAGGGCCCTGGGGGCCCCTTAGCCCAGGGCCCTGCAGCCCCTAAAGCCCCTGCGTTCCTGGTGGCCCTGCCTGCCCCGGGGGGGAGGGAGGGGTGGCTCCTAGAATCGCGGCCATGGGGCGGTGCCGCACTGCGCAGAGCCAACTGCACACCCCCTGCACCAAACAGGAGCTGCCCCAGGTAAGTGCTCTGCACCTCCTGCCTGCCCCAGCCCTGAGCCTCCTCCCGCACCCCCACCCTGAGCACCCTAACTCTCTCCCAGACCCTGCACCCCCAGGCATAAGCCCCAGGGTAAGCCAGGGGCACCTCCCCACCACAGTACAGTACTGTACAGTATATAATGCCTTTTGTCTGCCCCCAAAAAATTTCCTTGGAACCTTAGCCCCCGCATTTACATTAAATCTTATGGGAAAATTGGATTAGTTTAACATCGTTTCACTTAAAGTTGCATTTTTCAGGAACATAACTACAACATTAAATGAGGAGTTACTGTACGTTGCTCAGGAGGGTACATTTTTCACACCCCCAAGCGACATAATTATACCAATATAGACTTGGCCTCAGTCTTCTGACTCTTTTCAGCTATAGGTCCACCTCACATACTCCATACCACCAACTGATACCTGACAACCAAAATCCAAAAAAACAGAGCAGAAAGAGATTGCTCAAGGATTGAGGAAGAAAAGCAGCGGCTGTCAGAGCTACACAACAAAAGACCAAGATGATTAGTGGGGCACTCAGTTTAGCAAATATATTTTAAAGGCACTGTATCTGAGAAGCATACTTACTTTGTAATATCCAACAGGAATTTTAAGACCTGCTTATTTCTATAGTGTCTTCTTTAAAATTAAGGTGGTGAATGCATGTGTACAAACAGCCTTAAGTTTTTACATTCCATCAGCCACATTAAAATAAGCTTCCAAACAATTCCTTTGAGACATGACAGCCAAAGCTAGACTTTAAAAAGACTAGCTCATGAAGTCAAACTATGCTGCAACATTTTCAATACTAAGGAAACTGATTGGAATCTGCATAATTCTTTCATAGAGAAGTAATTAGTGACCATAGCAAGACTCACGTGAGCAAGCACAGACTGAGTGGTGTAAGAACAGTATTTATAGAATAAACAGGTCTAACAAAAGTCCTCTGTTGGGCTCAATTGTTTCACGCAGAGACAGCAGAACCAGGCAGGGCCCCGCCCCACACACACACTCCCACCCCAATTGAAGTATAGGAGGCTGATCTACATTCCCTCCCTCGCAAAAAAATGTTTTCCAGCCCCACAATAGCTCAGAAACCAGTACAGGACCCAGCAATGTTTATATACATACATACATATATATATATACACACATATATATATATACACACACACACACACCCCAGGAAGGGCTGGAGTGGCCAGCAGAGCTTGACTTCAGGACAGCTGCTGGGGAGCAGGTTGAAACAGCTCTCCTCTCCCCACCTTCCAGCCACTGTAGTCAGACACCCAACCCAGGGGAAGGGCAGGAGCATGCACAGAGGTGAGGGGAAAGGCACCAGCACCTGGGCACGGGACATCAAGGTACCAAGAAATAGCAATAGGAACTAACAAGCTGCCCCTTCCCAGCCTGTAGCAGCCCCCTCAGCCCCCCCACCCTACACCCACCCCTTTTATAACCAGACTAATTCACCCTCACGATCATAGTTACCTAAATACCGTACATAAAGTCTGAAACTTTTCTGAAAGCATTTTTCAGAACGCAGTTACATATTAAAACATAAAAAAAGCTGTGTCATATAGCAGTGTGACCTGCTGCCATCTCCTAATCAGTTATTTCTAAACAGCCAAAAAGTCACCTAAAGAACAATTTGTGAATGAGTTATGGCTTAAAACCTTCATTGTACTCAAAAGTTAAAAATCCATTTGCTCATTTACAAGTCAGACGCTTCTGGATGTGTGGGGGGACCAATGCCATCAGTTTCTGCAGACTATAGTTTAGAAGAGTTTTTAGCCATTGCTTGCAAAAAATACTTTTCCAATCAAGGTGATGCTGTGCTGTTTCCCCCAGTTAGTCTACAGACAACTGCAATATTTCTGCTGCTGTTCAGAGCTTTCCCAAGCTACAGAGTGAGAATTCACTGAGTATTTTCAATTTTCACTTCTACCATTCATAACCCTGTCAGTAGCTATGAAACTGACAAAAATAATCTCATTTTCACTTTGCTAACACTTGGCAAGGCTATGAACAGTAGCAGACAGAGGCATCAGAGCTATTCACTGAGGGGAAAACAGAACTCTAAGCCACAGGGTAGATTAGAAACACCTCATCATCATCTTCAGCAAAGAGGCTGACAGGAACAGAGTAATGGACACAGCCATTAGCACGAGTCTGGGTTGGCAAGTGGAAGAACAAAGAAGGGTTCTTTGCATTTACAGTAAAAAAGAGTTGGTAGGATTTCCAAACTTCAAGTATATCTGCTTCCAGCCAGTAGCATGGAATCCCTGATGAGGTACAGTATCCTGATAAGTCTTAACACAATCCCATTTTTCAGTAACTGGTGTCGAGGTTGGCCTCTCCTCATCTGCACTTTGTCCCCAGACAGTGCTCTCCTATTTAGGGTATTTGTTTTTGAATTAGGTATCAGGTTAATTTTTCAAGATATGTTAGTTTTTTGGCGTAGATTTAAGATAGGTCCTTCATAAAGTCATATGATGACCACTACTCCACAATAACTCCCCCAAATCTTTTCTGTGTATTCCTTTCTTTATCACCTTGTCTGTAAACTCCCCCAATATTTTGTTTTATTAATACAGACTGTTCTGGGCACAGAACATTTACTTACTTGCTAAGTAAAATACTAAGCCCATAGCACTATGGAAGCACTGAATATCAAACTAAATTGCATCATGGTGAGTATTGCAGTGTCATTAGTACAGTAATAGTAAGGCTCCAGGCAAGATTTATTTTCTCCTGACTCTCCACCCACACCATTCTCTTGAATGCTTTTTCCTTTTCTTCAGGGTTTTGGCAGCCAACAGTGTTTTACAATGCTGTGTCATTTAGCGCAAGAGTCAGCATTATCTTTTGAAGTATGTGCCCATAAACTTGATACAAAACATTTTTGTAGACAAAAAAAAACTTTGAACATTTAAGATATAAAGCTAAAGAGTCTTGTGCTCGCTAGAGATAAGGAGTTTAAGGTGTTATGATCATTTGGCAGGCTTGTTTGATTTTTCAGTACTTCCAGAATAAAACATGTATTAATTTTAATAGTCAATACTGTTAGCATTCAACTGACATCTGAAAAATCAAAATTAGTAAGAACACACCAACCTATTGCCCTGGCCACCTATTCAAAATAAGGAGTTGAGTGTAAACAACATGAGCAAAGATATTACAAGAGCTACAGCTATTTTCTTCAGACTGGGAGGGATGCGATCAGTCATTTAATACAACATCCAGTCCCATGGAGGCTGCTGAGCTCAGGCCAGTACTTACACAGTTAGATGCGAGACACTGACTCTGCCTACTCGCGGCTCTCGCTCCACGGAAGGTCTGATTAGTTAGCGCCCATCTCTGGCGTTTACGCGGCCATGACCCAGGCTGTATTTGCTGAATCTGACGAAGCTCTGAGGACGGTATTTACCTAGTCTCTTTGTGTAGCACCGACTGCACAGAGTGCAAGAGACAGCGCAGACTTTGGCCTGGATCACCCATCTCTGAGCCCTCTCGCGACCCATTCGCACGGCGGCGGGAAGGCTAACTCCCATGCCCTCCCCAGCGGTGGGGAGGACCCGGCCCAGCGCTTCCGGGCGCCAGGCCCGGGTGTCTCTGCCCAACCCCCCACACATACACAGACACCGGCCCCACTGCCCCTGGGCAGCTCCCGTTGCTGGAGACGCTGCCCGGCCTCCACCCTATATCCAACCGCCCCGCTCCCTCCACCCGCAGGGGCGAGCCCCGCCGACTCGGCTAGCCCAGGCACCAAGGAAAGCGGGATCGCCCCAGCCCAGAGTCTACCCGTGAGCGGCCCCCAGCAGGGCCCCCGCCCAACGCGCGCGCGCGGCCCGGCCCCGCTTACCAGCGGCCAACAGACACGGAAAAAGCAGCAGCTGCATATCTGCGTCTCTGCAATGCGGAGCTGATCAGCTGATCGCAGCCTATATAGGGCCAGCCCGAGCCCCCGTCACTGCGCATGCTCTGCCCACCCTGCTGGGGGGACCACCAGTACGCATGCGCTCATCACTCCACAGCGGACCCCACCCCCCGCAGCGTTTTCACAATCGCGCATGCTCCCTTTCTCCGGGTCTTCTGACGCTAAATCATCTCGCCCTAAGGGCGACGGGGATTAGTGGAGAAGGCGCATGCGTAGGAGGGAGTAGAGTGCGGGGTTGGGGGGGTGCTCAGACACCATGGGACGGGCAAGCTGGGGGTCGTAGGCAGGGGCGGTTGGCTCAGCCCGCGCTGTCCCGTTATCTCTGCAGGGACGTGCCCTGGGGCGCCTGCAGGAGGCTGGCTGCGAGCGCCCACCCCCGGACAGCTCCTGTCCGTTGCCGCCTAGCCCTGCAGCCAGCAACGGCCGCCGGCTGGAGGGAGCCGCGCCGGGCTGGGTGACGCTGGTTTGCTCCGCAGCCCAGCGCGGTCACCCAACGGCCCTTATGCCAAGCCAGGGGCTGCCCTCCTGCCCCGGGGAAGGAGACCCGAAGAAGAACTGGGGTAGCTGGGAAACAGGCGTTGGTCCAGTAAATGCTATTCATCCCCAGCGTGGCTCTCGGCCTATGTCTGCGCTGCACTTAGGCACCCCACACCTCGCCCATGCAGCTGACTCAGGCTAAGGGGCTCTTTCATTGCAGTGTAAACATCAGGGCTCAAGCTGGAGCCTGAGCTCTGGGACCCTCCCTAGAGCCCAGAGTCACATTATCTACTCCGCAATTAAACAGCTCCATAAGCCCAGTCAATTGACAGAAACCAGCCCTGGGTTTTTAATTGCAAGGTTAAGAAGAGGAAGTTTTCTAAGTTTGATTACCACTACCTGTCAGGACTTCTTTGTCAGGGTCGCTATAGTTGATCATGCTTGACTATAGGTTTCAATATGTAGTAATGTGGCCTCCCTTGCTCGTATCCAAGTGCCTCCTACAGAAATATACAACTATAAGCCTCTCTCTTCACTCCATGAAGAAAGACAGAAGAGGGGTTGTTTTGTTCCAGATATGCACAAGACCAAGTAGTGAGCTGCTTATGAGAAAGGTAAATCAAAGATCAATTCAGCACTTGGTTCAGAACCGTCAGAGGTCATGCTCATTCTTACCTCTTTCGTGGGCTGGCTCCTTTGAAAGTTCTGCCTCCCTCCTGCCCTTATAAATCTCTGCCTATTAGTCATCAGTTTCATTGTGTTAGCAGCATATAACTGCCATGGGAGTATAGGCAGGCAGGCAACCTTGTAGAGGCTCTGAATATTAAACAGAACCCTTGAAAAACATCTCAGCAAAATCATGTCGGCCCTCTTTTTTGCCCCATCCCCAAATACAGTGGCTTCAAAATAGAGATTTCAAAAAAATATATATATATATATTGGGTTTTGTGTGGCTTCTCATTCTTGAGCCTAAGGCTATGTTTTCAACCTTTACTCTGCAACTTTTTAAAACAAAACTGACCTGAGATTTAAACACATTTAGTGGGGGAGGTTTAAGAAGAAATAAAAAAACTACTTTCAATAAAAAATAACCACTAAAGGTAGTAGTACTGTAGTTCCAGGGGAAGCCAGTATGCAGAGCAGAAGGTCAACGTGTTTACAGCAGCTCATGTTGCTGAGCAAGCAAGCAGGTGCTGTACCAGCTCATGCTTCCTTAGGCTGTCTGGCTTCATTCCCGGATATGGGAGTTGCAGTTATTGGGCATGGAGGTCAAAATTGTGGATCACTGTTGCTAGTTCTAAGTCTTCTGGCCCAGTGCAAGTGGAAATGAGCCACATTCAGGAGCCTGAGGCAATGAAATTACAATGAATAGGTAGATGCCTGAAGGGGTAGCTTTGGAGGAGGCAAGTTTTTCAAACTGCTTCCCTTTCCCCACAAGTATCACTTCTCTCTTGTCTGGGTTCAACTTCAACCACATGCTCCTCAGCCAGGCACTGATCTTTTCTGTGTATTAGAAGTAGAAAAAGTTATTTACATCTTTTATATCAGATATAGAGCTGTGTATTACCTGCACATTGTTGACAACTCAGCCTATTTAACCAACTTATACAAGGGCTTCACATAGATAAGGGACAGCTGAAAACCACAACCACCTGCAAGGGCAGTGGGATCATAGGATGGTGTCCTAAGCACTGCTGCATTGATTTTAGAAGTGGTCAAGGGGTGGCAGTTCTACTTAACTAGTTCTTCCACTCCTAGGTTACTTGGTTTGATAGAGTTTGCTCCCACACAATTTGGGAATTTCTTTGAATCCATTTTTGTGGGGTGAATCATGGTGATGGTTCATGGTCTGAGTAGGAGAGGGAGTAATTTGTGTGTTTTGTATAGCTATATCCAATCCCAGAACCCAGTGGCGAGGACTAGTCTTCTAAGGAAAAACCTAAAAAGGAGGAAAGATTAGCTAAGATTTCAGGTAGCTGAAGAAAAGGCATTAATTTTCTTGGGAGACTTTACTGTCCAGACTATCAGCCATGTACATTTTATCATCATGGACACCATCTTAGATCCTCTTGGAAGCCTTTTGTATGGGGAAATTTGTAGATTAATAGGATAGCTAGGTTAGTCTTATTTTGATTCACAGTATTAAATGGATGTGTTTGAAGGATTTTGTTTTACTAGAGACTCTCTAGCTTTTGAGTTCACATACTATATAACAATACAAATTGTAAGTGTTGGCAAAGTCTGCAGGGGTTTTCCTGCTCAAATCAGCTGAATTTTTGCTGTGTTTTGCTCTGAAGTTTCAGAGGAAGCAGTGTGAGTTTTGTTTAATTATACAAAACCAAAACAAAAGGTATAAAGTAAAAAGCAACACAAACACATGTGTATGCCTAATGTCCTCAAACTAAAAATCCTGCATTCTCCCAAACTGTTCCATCTCTCCCTCCCCTGACTCCATAGTATTGGGAGACACAAGGATCATTTCACCATATTTGTCAGTTTGTTCAGGTGAATTACCTCTGGTTCTGAACCACATTTATGGAAACCCCCAGCCCGCACCACAGGAATATACTGTTATCAGCTAATGAGCAGAGATAAAAGTATGTACCATGTCATTAAGCACCTCTGTTGAACACTCAAAAGAATATCTGGTAGTCAAAGTGTACCTTATTTTCAAGAACTTTCCCTTCATATGAATAAAATATTAAAATATATTTGTCACCATTGCATTAGATTATTAGCTGGATATTCCTGATTCAAGTGTTGGTGTCACTAGGCATAGCTACCAGGTAACTTGGGGGAGTGGAAGGCCATAAGTGCTGATGAAACTCCTGCGCTCTGGGTCTAAGTGAACCACAGTGACTCCATCTTGTGAACTTTCACCTACTTCTATGCTAACTACTTACATGCTGAAGAAGAAATGTAAGGGTCAGCTTTTCTAGCAGACAGCTGTAGTTTCGCTCACAAACACAGTAGAGATAAGGAAGGGGGAGGGAGAAGCCTCTACGTCTTAGCCTGCGAAGGCCGAAGATAGCAGACGAATGGGAATTTTTCTAACTGTAACTGCTTGAGGAGGGAGGGGAAGGAGGGATAGGGGGAAAAGTAACAGAACAAAAGCTTACAGAAACTGCTTGGAATATAAAAGGGACACTTGCTTATATGTGCTGCGCTTGATTTGAGACATGCTGGTCTCCTAGTGCCTATTCAGAGCTCTTGAATAAAGTTGGTTTGTTTCTCCACCCCTGGTGTGATTATTGGTGCAAAGCACACCGGGCAACGAACCCCGCTGTTGCCCCCTCGGGCCCTTTAAGCCGGAAACACAAGGATAAGCAGAAAAATGGTTAACAATATTATTTAAGTTGTGAGTTTAAAATACACTTGAAGAGTTAACCCTTGGGACAAACAGAAAAGTAAATTTCCTATTTATTTTTCATTTTGTCTGGATATAGACCAGGGTGGATAAAAATACATAATATTTTTTATTTAAATCTTATTTTGTTACATTTTTCTGTTGAAATGAAATCTGAATTTAATTCAAAATAGGTTAAAGCCCAAACTTATTATAGTCCTAACATTTAAGTAAAAAAAAAAAATGCTGACTCCATAAGCCTCTATCAAAATCTTTGAGTTAAAGTTGGCTTTTCTATATAAAGATGTTTTCCCCATGATTCTAACTTTTGAGGTCAAGCTTTATAAATATGGCACAATAAATCAGCCTAAGTAATTTAGGAGAGTATCATTTTCAAGAGACTAAGGTGAGTAAGAACTTAAGCACCAGTCACTTTCATTTAGGCATATTTGAAAATTTTCCCAGGATGAGCTGAAATAATCAATTTAATTCACAACTACAGTTAAAGGAACTGTGGGATTAATAAGACAATTGTAAATGTGAAACATGTTTTGATAAGAAGTTTGTGTCCCAAACATTTAAGGTTGTTTTGTTTAACAAAAATAAATTTTATATGGTGGTGTGTAATTAAATTCCAGTTACTATCCTAATGCAGATTGACAGTAATTCATGAGCAAAATGTTATCTACTTAAGCAATATCATTCACCATTTTCTAACTTTCTAAGTGTACAATTAAGAATCTGAAAATATTAAGCTATATAATTGCTTAAATAAATGTATATAGTTATAGTGTACCCTCCTACATATAAAAAAGATATGTACAAAATCTAATATAAAGTGTCTATTTGTTAATCAACATGTTTTAATATTTGTATCAACCAATGAGAATGCACCTTTCTTTAGAAACTAGGGTAAATTAATATGGAAAAGGTGATTAAAAATCCATTTAAATTGAGGCTTTCCACTTGCTGATTTAAAATCAATCCACCCTGAAGCAGACTCACAAGGTCAACACTACATATGTTTGCATTGTGAAAGTTCTCTTCAGCTAGTGTCTATTCTAATCAAGGAAACCCTTGCAGGGATAACAGTTGCAGAAATTGGTGGCTGCCTTGCTTGTCTTTGCAAGATATAGCAAGTCCACAAAGCAACTCTAGTTTTGACAGAAAAACAATTTGCTGAGTCCACATACAACTTCACTTACAATTGTTAAGAAAGAAGAAGCACATTATCTTCCATTGTGTTCACCTGT